ATAGAGGCGATGGTCACCTTCCAGGAAGGGATAGCGAGCCCAATTGCTAGCTCAAGACTATCGGCACTGAGGAAGCCAGTCTTGAGATAGATAATGACGTCGAGGCCGAGGGGCCGATCGTGATGTGCGGATGGCGATGAGAAGGAGCAATCTGAAATATGATGACGGGGCGATGATGAGCCGGCCGTCATATAGAGGCGATGGTCACCATCCAGGAAGGGATGGCGAGCCCAATCGCTGGCTCAAGACTCTCGGCGCTGAGGAAGCCGGTCTTGAGATAGATAATCACGCCAAGGTCGAAGGGCTGATCGTGATGCGCGGATGGCGATGAGAAGGAGCCAATCCGAGATATGATGATGGGGCGATGATGAGACGACCATCATATAGAGGCAATGGTCACCATCCATGAAGGGATGGCGAGGCCAATCGCTAGCTCAAAACTCTCGACGCTAAGGAAGCCAGTCTTGAGATAGATAATCACGCCAAGGCCGAGGGGCCGGTCGTGATGTGCGGATGGCGATGAGAAGGAGCCAATCCGAAATATGATGATGGGGCGATGATGAGTCGGCCATCACATAGAGGTGATGGTCACCGTCCAAGAAGGGATGGCGAGCCCAATCGCTAGCTCAAGACTCTCGGTGCTGAGGAAGCCGGTCTTGAGATAGATAATCACGCTGAGGTCGAGGGGCCGATCGTGATGTGCGGATGGCAATGAGAAGGAGCCAATCCGAAATATGATGACGGGGCGATGATGAGCCGGCCGTCATATAGATGCGATGGTCACCATCAAGGAAGGGATGGCGAGCCCAATCGCTAGCTCAAGACTCTCGGTGCTGAGGAAGCTGGTCTTGAGATAGATAATCATGCCGAGGCCGAGGGGCCGGTTGTGATGTGCGGATGGCGATGAGATGGAGCCAATCCGAAATATGATGATGGGGCGATGATGAGTCGGCCATCATATAGAGGCGATGGTCACCATCCAAGAAAGGATGGCGAGCCCAATCGCTAGCTCAAGACTCTTGGCGCTGAGGCAGCCAGTCTTGAGATAGATAATCACGCCGAGGCCGAGGGGCCGGCCGTGATGTGTGGATGGCGATAAGAAGGAGCCAATCCGAAATATGATGACGGGGCGATGATGAGTCGGCCGTCATATAGAGGCGATGGTCACCATCCAAGAAGGGATGGCGAGCCCAATCGCTAGCTCAAGACTCTCGGCGCTGAGGAAGCCGGTCTTAAGATAGATAATCACGCTGAGGACGAGGGGACGGTCATGATGTGAGGACGATGGCAATGAGGAGACGGTCCTACAATCCATGCAACGGTCGCTATCCGGTAAAGGAATGTCGAAGACCGTTCTTAAGATAGAGCATCACACCATAGCCGAGGGGCTGGTCGTGATGTGAGGACGACGACGATGATGAGCCGGTCCTATAATATGATGACGAGGCGATGATGAGCTGGCCGTCATATAGTGGCGATGGTCACCATCCAGGAAGGGATGGCGAGCCCGATCGTTGGCTCAAGACTCTTGGCGCTGAGGAAGCCGGTCTTGAGATAGATAATCACGTCGAGGCTGAGGGGCCAGTCGTGATGTGATGAAGGGCAAGGAGTTGACGCCGGGATGAATGTGAAGGACGGCGGAGCCGGTCCGATGATGGACTAGGCTTGGACGCTCGTCTGAGATGAGGGATGGCGCTGGGCGCTCGTCTGAAGATGAGGGACGGCGTTGGGCGCTCGTCTGAAGATGAGGGACGGTGATGGGCGCTCGTCTGAGATGAGGGATGGTGCTGGGCGCTCGTCTGAAGATGAGGGACGGCGCTAGGCGCTCGTCTGAGATGAGGGACAACGTTGGGCGCTCGTCTGAGATGAGGGACGGCGTTGGGCGCTCGTCTGAGATGAGGGACGGGGCTGGGCGCTCGTCTAAAGATGAGGGACGGTGCTGGGCGCTCGTTCTAAGATGAGAGACGGCGTTGGGCGCTCGTCTGAGATGAGGGACGGCGCTAGGCGCTCGTCTGAAGATTAGGGACGGCGCTAGGCGCTCGTCTGAGATGAGGGACAGCGCTGGGCGCTCGTCTGATCCATATGTATGGTCTTGCTTCGTCCATAATGCATAGTATTTGCCTGATATGTACTTAACCAAATATGTATCTTGATTTGTGGGGATTTTATTTTTATCGCTCGAGGCCGGCAGGTGCACGGTCCATCGGCTTCCCTCTTTTATTTTTGGAGATATCGCTTGAGGTCGGCGAGTGCGCGGTCCTTCGGCTGTCCCTCTTTTATTTTTGGGGATTTCGCTTGAGGCCGACGAGTGCGCGGTCCTTCGGCTGTCACTCTTTTATTTTTGGGGATTTCGCTTGAGGCTGGCATGTGCACGGTCCTTCGGTTGTCCCTCTTTTATTTTCTTCCTCTTTACTTCTTTCAGCGAGGAGTGGGTATCCTTCTTTGCGGCTCGGCCCAGGGGGTTGCTATCCCCTTGGCCGAAGGGAGTCCACGAGGGCAGTTAGTCCTCTGACAGTGGATCGTCCCTTGATCTTGGTGAGGTCCCGTCGTCTATTTACGGCGCGGGCTAAGGCTTTTGGTCGGTTACCGACGGCTGCCGTTTCCTGATCCAAACTTTGGGGATTTTTGTCACCTGAGCCATGATTACAGGCCTGTCGTCATGCGATTTAGCGTGTGAACGACGCGGTGAGCTTCCCATTTCAAGACATGGGCCGTTTGCGGGCCCCTCGTCCTGGGGACATCGTCAGCCTTATCTGAGCGTCTTGCTCTAAGGGGTCGATGCGATGTGCTCTGTCGGCCATACCTGAGCGTTTCGCTCTAAGGGGTCGATATAATATGCGGTATCTTAGACTGAGGTGTACCGTTTACCGCTCTTAAGCATAATAATGTCGTGTGCGGCTGATAGCGGCTCTCAATTTTAGATGCCCGAGGCACCAAATAAAGGTGACTAGGGTAGGTTGATGGACCTAAATATAATCTGAATCATCAAATAAAGATGTTCGGTAGACTGGAGCTCGGGTTCACCACTTTGGGGTTTTTTAATCCGCTTTAATGATGGTGATAAAAATAATAACGCCAATAATAATGCATCATTAGCGACCTCGGGAAATTTTAATCCGCCATAATGGTCTTCACCACCTTGAGGGATTTTAACCCGCCATAATGGTGGTGGAAATAATATAATTAATAAAAGTAATAATTATACTACTATCATTTAATAAATATTTTATGTGTATAAATAGGAGTATTGGGCACTTAGCTTTTAAGTGGGCTGGAATATTGGGCTGCTCGTGCTGAAAAATGGGCCCATGTAGAAATTGGGTCCTTAATTTCTCATTGGGCAGCTTCATCAACACTTTTGATCTAGTCCTTGATAATCCATTGCAAGCTTTCCTCCCCTACGTCTTTACCCCCCTACGTCTGGCATGCGGGAAGCCTTCTGCGGGTAAGACCAAGTACTCAAGTAGCATGAAGCTAGTGTAAATCTTCCAAGGGAGAAGTCCGCAGCTACTGGGGAAGATGAGGCGAGGCCCTCTCCAACGGCACTAGCGGGGAAGCTTCCTCCGGCAGGCAGGGTCGGTCCTGAGGAAATGAAGGCCCTGTGCAAAAAAAAAAATTGGGCCTTCTTTTCAAAGTTTCAACACAAGTTAAAAAAACCGAACCGAAACCGCACCGACTCAAACGGGACCCGAAAGTCGGGACTCGAACATAAATCAGTTTAATGAAGGTTTTTTGAGTTATAAAATCGGTTCAAACCGAACCGAACCGATTTTTATTAAGAGGTATTTTAATTATTTATTTTGTAGAACAAATAGGTAATATAGAACTTGTACGTCCGTATTTCAAGAATTAGTTGATTTGGTCCGGCGGTTGATGTTTAGAAATCAGCGTGCATGCTTTTATTTTCACCTGGGTTTAAATCCCGCATGCCTCGCTTCTTTTCTTTTTTGTTTCTAAAGCTTAAGATTCCCACACCGGTGGAAACGGAGAATTTATCACTCCTTCGTTCCTATATACATGCTCCTCCTTTGCATATGAGGAATACGCGAAGTGATGAACCAGACTTGCTTCAAAGCCTTGCCCTAGTCCACCTAAGTAATAATACTCCCTCCGTCCCGCTAACATTGGGACAAAAGGGAGTGACACACAAATTAATAAAAAGTTGTTTATGTAGTTGATATTGAATTGGTAAAGTAAGAAAAAAGATAGAATGATTTAGAGTCACACAAACTTTACCAAGTTTGGTATGAGACAATATTAATGAGACGAACCGATAAGGTAAAATGGGACAATCATAGTGGGACGAAGGTAGTAGAGTATACTACTACAAAAAAAAATTGGGCCCTTCCAATTTTTTGGGCCATGTGCGGTTGGACACCCTGCACACCACCAGGGCCGGCCCTGCCGGCAGGGACTAGCACATTCCTCACGCGGATCCAGCGGCAGAGAGAAAACGATTGGAACAAGCTCGCTAAGACTCCGGCAGCATCGGCGAAACATCCTCAGCACTGGAGACGAGTGATACACGCTTCGAGTTGGGTCAGCAGGGGAATTCCGATCTGTTTATTACTGGAGCTCTTAGGGGCCATTAATGGCGGATATCGAAGGTCCATTCCCCAGTCCGGTTCAGGCTCCGACCATTGAGCCGCGAAGACGACCAGATGCGACGCCAACGGGTGCTATGTGCAGTGAGCTGCAGCGGGTGGCGCGCGACAGCTTCGACTTAGGCCTGGGAACTGGTGGGGAGCTTCTCCAGCCATGGCGGGTGGCGGCAACGGGAATGGCGAGGATGTCTCCGGCTTAGCTCTGAGAAATCCCCCAAACCCCAAATTCCAGTTTCTTCATTCCTCGTTTTCCCTTTTTTTGGGATCTTTGTAATTGGATGAATTTTTTGATGTTTTGGGAGGGATTTCTCACTCGATTTTGCTCTAATCTCTCAATGAAAGCACCATGATGGATTATTGGGATCCAAACATATATTAAAATGGAGAGTTGAGCTCAAGAAATGTGGAGAAGATGAATGAATAATGAATTGAGACTTAGGTTTACAAGAGCTCCCTTAAGGAGTATATATAAGGAAATCCGGGTCTGGGCCTATAATATGGGCCCGACAGACCCGGTTACATAAAAGAACTGATAACATCTAAATAATAATGCACAATAATATGAATAACATCTGATAAGCGTGTGTGGGCCGCTGTCCGAGCCCAATAGTTGTGAGACTCGGAGGTCCGAGTGTATATACTCTATCAGTGTTACTTCTTGAATATCCCTCATCGAACATCTATCTTACCAAATTCCATCTTTGGGCCCCCTTCAGAAATCTTCCCTATGACTTCTTCTACGTTATCTTCTTTCTCCTCTATTCCCACCAAAACAATATCCATATTCCCTTTTCCTTCTTGAATGTCTTCAAGTTCATATCCCTCGTTATTAACTTCAATATCCCCTGGCATTGTGACTATACTCTCGGGCACCAAAACAACCTCCCTCAAAGAGTTGCAAGAATTACCCTCAAGATTAAGCAAATCCTCTTAGAAAAGTAAGGAGGATATAGATGCAAATTCTTCAAAACAATTTTCCACTATACTCGAACAGTTGGCTGCAGAGTCCTCAAAAGTTATCCTTATATTGCCCTTTGAAATTTGACACAACATATCCGGCTGGTCCAATATAGTAGAGCAAAACAGTGTGAATCCATCTCCTTTTTCTCCTTCAGGAATAATAATAATTTTTCTACCCTCATGCCTCAAATCAACCAAACAAATAAAACCTCCACATTCATTTTTTCCAAATGACATGTGAATTTTACGATATCCTTCATTCCTAACGAAGGTTGAAGAATCGTCAGATTTAATCAAACTAAATGATTTACACAACCAATCTACACCATCCACATCTAGGGAAATGGTTTGAGAGGAATAGCTCTTAACCTGACTGATATGCATAATTGAAGGAGCCACATCAAAGCAAAAAAAGTTTACTTTCTATTTTAATTTTTGAAGTTGGCCTTAAAGATGAAGAATTGGTTGGATTCTTCCCAAAATTGTCTCGGTGTGTGCATCGATCATACCTTATCTTAGCTGATTTCCGAGAGAAAGCTTCAGATCGACCACCTACAGCTCTGGATCAATGCCCTTCCCAGCCTCTGTTTTTGTACCTGAAAATCGCCTCTATTTATTGAAGTTTATTATAACTAATTTTTTATTTCTACGTACTACTTTCATTTCAGTAGTTGACACATGATGCAATATTAATTTATTGCATTGCCCATTACTCATTACATAGGAAGGTCCCTTGCATGGGACATGCACATGCCCTTCTCTCTCCTATTATAAATCATTCATATGTATTATATAAGTTTGAACATCCTTCATATTTGTATCAAGGAGAATTCCTCAAATGTTTCATAGCTCTTTCAGTCTCATTCCAGATTAATATCAATTTATCTATCCGAATTTATATTAATTTTATCATGGTATCAGAGCCGAAATCCTTGAAACAAAATTTCTTGAATTTTCTCTCTTCTACTTTTCTTTCTAAGCTATGGCCATCGGTGAAGTCACCATTAATACCGGCCATGAAGCTATGTGTTGTCTTCCTTCAAATGCCCAAGTCAATATGGCATGCATGTTGCCACATGCTCGTCCTTGGATAATCGATTCTGGAGCTGCTGAACATATCACTTGCAGTGATATTGATCTTTTTAATATTACTAGTCACAAGTTTGAATCATCGGTCAAAATTCCTAACGGTGAATCCGTTCTGGTTCAAGCTATCGGAAGTCTGTACCTTCCCAATGGGCTACGTCTTGAGCGTGTTCTCTATATTCCCAAATTTCAATGCAACCTACTTTCAGTTAGTCGCTTAACAAGTGATCTAAACTGTACCCTAACATTTTTCTCAGATTTTTGTATTTTACAGGATGTACCCTCGAAGAAGCTGATTGGCGTGGGTAAATTTCGTGATGGTCTCTATTACTTGGAGTCTTCGAGAAGTGAAAGTGTGGCAATGTCAGTCTCTGTCACCTCTAATTTATGGCATCAACGCTTGGGGCATGCATCTGATGGAAAATTGCATCACATTAGTTCTCTCAAGGGATTTCGACGTAGCAGTGATTTTTGTGATCCATGCACCCGAGCTAAGCAGACTAGACTATCCTTTCCTACAAGTGCCATTTAAACAATTGATACATTGTGACATTTGGGGAGACTATAGATGTGATTCCATCTCTGGTGCACGGTATTTTCTATCTATTGTTGATGATTTTAGCAGAGGTGTGTGGGTTTATTTAATTAAAAATAAATCTGAAGTCTCTCAATTTTTAATCCAATTTTGCAACACGGTCCATACTCAGTTTGAGAAAAAGGTCAAACGAATACGAGCTGATAATGGTGTGGAATTTCAAACTAAGAATTTATTTGATTATTATGGACGCACTGGGATATTATTAGAGACTTCATGTGCAGACACACCACAACAAAATGGGGTTGTTGAGCGTAAACACCGACACATATTGGAAGTTCCGAGAGCACTGCATTTCCAGTCTCGATTACCTATTAATTTTTGGGGAGAATGCATTTTAACTGCTGTTTATATTATTAATAGACTCCCTCACCCGTCATTCTCAACAAAAGTCCTTTTGAGATGTTATTTGGAAAAGTGCCTAGCTATAACCATTTACGCGTATTTAGGTGTTTGGTATATGCCCACGATAATAAAAGAAAAGACAAATTCAGTGAAAGGGGGAGTCCTTGCATATTTATTGGTTATCCATATGGTCAAAAGGCTTATCGAGTTTTTGATTTGAAAAATCATAGTGTCTATAGCTCTCGGGATGTAACATTTTATGAGGATAAATTCCCATTTAACATTGGTTTTGACCCGGAGTTGAATTTTCCGACAATTGTTGAGAAAGCTTACCACCACACGTTAGGATATGAATATTCTACGCCTCATCATCTGCAACCCCGTGGACAGGTACATGGTTCTCCCATAACTTCTGCGTGTGACGGCCCCACACCCGAAATAATAGACCAACACTTTTATGGACAGCCGCTACAAGGATCTCCTGCAACATTTTCACGTGAGGGCTCCACCCATGAAATAATGGATCAGCTGCAGGTCCCTCCTAAAATCTCCACACGTGAAGACCCCATTTCTGAGAAAATGAACCAACTGCAAGTTGGTGTGTTACCCTCTAACACTCCTGAACAGTTGACAAACCATTTTGATATTTCTACACAAGAGACAATTCCAGAAGGCCCCATTTCTCAATCAATCCTGACTCCGTCTATTGTGTCGAGCTTTCATCCAAAAAGGAGTGATCGTAGCCGCAAACTCCCAAAGCATCTTGATAATTTTGAGACTGACTTGCCACCATCACTTGATCATTCACGGCCTACTATCAATTCAGTGAACTCAAAGGTATATCCTATTTCAAAATACATCAGTTATGAGAAATTTTCTAATACCCATAAAGCATATTTGGCGGCCATCACCTCCCGTGATGAGCCTAAATATTTTTCACAGGCTGTACGAGATCCTTTATGGAGAGATGCCATGCAAAAGAAGATTAATGCATTGGAAGAAAATAACACTTGGGTTCTAGCCCCATTGCCACCTGGAAAAAGGATTGTTGATTCGAAATGGGTTTATAAAATTAAATATAAACCTAATGGTGACATAGAACGTTACAAAGCTAGATTGGTTGCTAAGGGTTATACTCAAGTTGAGGGTATTGATTTTCATGAAACTTTTGCTCCGGTTGCAAAACTTGTCACAGTACGATGCTTGCTAACCGTTGCAGCCAAACGTAATTGGATAGTGCACCAACTTGATGTTAATAATGCCTTTCTTCATGGAGATCTATCAGAGGATGTCTACATGCGTCTCCCACAAGGATTTGCGAAAGATGGTGATACCAGTGTTTGCAAGTTACAAAAATCTTTGTACGGATTACGCCAAGCCTCTCGCAATTGGTATCACAAATTCACTCAAGCCCTCACTCAAATTGGCTTTTGCCAGTCCAAAGCGGATCACTCTCTATTTATTTTTTGTCAAGGCCCGATACAGACTTTTGCCCTCATCTATGTTGATGATGTTATCCTCGCAGGCAATGATAGTTCTCATATATCCACAATTAAAAGTTACTTGGATGCGAAATTTAGTATAAAAGATCTGGGAAAATTAAAATATTTTCTTGGCATTGAAGTTGCTCGTTCCCCTGAAGGTTTTGTTTTAAGTCAGCGAAAATATACCCTTGATATTTTAGAAGAGAGTGGTTTCTTAGCGGGCCATCCCTGCTCATTTCCCATGGAGCAAAATTTAAAACTTCGCCCTGATGATGGTAGTCCACCCGTAGATGCCTCTCTCTACCGCAGATTAATTGGGCGATTACTCTACCTCACTGTGACCCATCCAAACATAGTTTACTCGGTCAGTCAACTCAGTCAATTTCTCAGCTCTCCATGCCAAACACACCTTGATGCAGCTATTCGTGTGCTTCGATATTTGAAGCAAACACCTGGTCAAGGCATTTTTCTATCATCCGATAGTGATATCACCTTGATAGGTTATTGTGATGCCGACTGGGACGGATGCTCTCTTACTCGCCGATCAAGCACTGGTTATTTTATCACTCTCGGAGCTTCACCCATATCCTGGTGGACAAAGAAACAGTCTGTCGTCTCTCGTTCTTCTGCTGAGGCAGAATACCGCGCCATGGCTATAACAGTTAGCGAAATTTTAAGGTTACGGTGGTTACTACGTGATCTTACGGTTCATCAAAAACATCCCACATTACTTTACTGTGATAATCAGGCTGCACGACATATTGCACTCAACCCGATCTTCCATGAACGTACCAAGCATGTCGAAATGGATTGTTACTTTGTACGAGAACGTGTTGCTAGTAATGAGATCCAACCACAATACATTTCGACAGAGAATCAAATGGCTGATATATTTACAAAAGCACTAGGGACGGATCGTTTTCAATTTCTTCGGAGCAAGTTGGGTGTTCATGACCTACTCACTCCACCTTGAGGGGGAGTATTGAAGTTTATTATAACTAATTTTTTATTTCTACGTACTACTTTCATTTCAGTAGTTGACACATGATGCAATATTAATTTATTGCATTGCCCATTACTCATTACATAGGAAGGTCCCTTGCATGGGACATGCACATGCCCTTCTCTCTCCTATTATAGATCATTCATATGTATTATATAAGTCCGAACATCCTGCATATTTGTATCAAGGAGAATTCCTCCAATGTTTCATAGCTCTTCCAGTCTCATTCCAGATTAATATCAATTTATCTATCCGAATTTATATTAATTTTATCACTATTTTTGTATCTGCGTTGGATGCCCATCGGTGAGAAAAAGTATCTATGGCTTCAGTCGATGAGAGATCGTCCGTGAATCTATTGAAGTATCAGCGACTCTTGAATGTCAAATCCCGTTCAAAGAATGTTGGAAGTCCTATGTGAGAAATCCCATGGTTGGAAGCCCAACCCCCTTCGCGTACCAGGAACTCTCCACGAACCCCTGAAGCCGTATTTCCCGAAAGCTCTCCCTTGATGTGATTGGGGCTGCCGCCAATTTGAGATCGACAATTGCGATCGAGGAAAACCCCTTGCGGCACCCCTCATCCCCTCAAACCTCTAGCATATTATGGGTAAAAGCGATACAGGAAATTCCAAAGTCGAATGCAAACCCTTGTTCTCTTCCTTAGCGATAGTGACCTTACTGTAACTCTTAACAAGAACATCCGTGATGAAAACTCCACAAGAGCAAACAACAAAAATACTCTAACCATCGGTCAACAAGGAAACCCCACTACAGCACCGCCCACATACAAAACCACCATAACTTCTTCTAGACTAAAAGAACACATTGCACAAACCTCACGAAGAAAGACGGAAAACAGCAAGCTTCGATGGAACCCAAAACTCAAAAGAATACCCAAATCGAATGTAGGCAAAACCTCGACCAAAGGAAAACGCCAACCAACGATGAGAATCAAAGCCCTTAAATCAACAATAGCTGGACGCAGAAGTGAAACAAACAAGAATAAATGAAACCTCACATCGGAGAGCACTCGAAAACCGCAGTTATATGCCTCGCTGCGAGTGATCAATCGATCGATCTAGACTATGCGCCCAACCTGTACTCCGCCGATAGGGTTCAAAGTCCGACTTTTTAATCGATTAATTTAGATTACTATTTTAATTGGACTGAACTTTTCTGATCTGGTATCATCTGTTCTGGTCTTGTAAATGTCTAGTCTCTATGTATTTTATAATTGTCTAAGTCTGATCTGGTCTGATCTGAGACCGAAAATAGTCTAAATAAAAACATCATAACTGGTTTTAGGTCTTTTTCATTTTTTGAAAATAAATCGCCTATATTTATATCATTAGTTCAGGATCGTCACATCAATCAAAGAAAAATCATACCTAACACCAACTACGAAGCAGGCTTGACATGACTATCACTGGTCTTATAGATCCGTATACTTTTAACGATATAAAAATAAGCTAAATTTCCAATCATCCCGATAAACCTAACAGTAAAGACTTTAAGAAACCAAATAACAAAATAACAATAACTAATAGGATAAATTTCTCGAACCCTACCACCTCATTCAACCCATGGCGCGGCGGTGGTTAAGGAGGGGGCCGGATCATTAACACTGTTGTGATGGATTTTCCATCGTCGGCCAAACTTTGGCCCGCCATAGCCATCTCCTTGTACATTCCCATGTCTACATACCTACCCAAGTATGTGGATAGCCTTCCTGCTTCCTCACTACACAGCGCCACCACACCATGACCATCTTGATCTCCCTTCATCACAGGCCACATTGAGCCCGACTAATAGCGCCTCGCAGCCCCCCAAGAGATCTTCGAACAACGCCAGCTATGGACAACCCAAATCAGATCTCCATCGTCGTTGTCGGCCTCCCAACATCTAAATAAAAGAAATTGATCCAGTCTAACATTGCCGACATCGAATCGAGCGGCGAAACACCAGCGAAAGAAACTCGACGAACAATTAGTCACACTAAACTTCAAACCCTAAGGAGGGTTACCGGTGAACAGGGGTTTTTCGTGTGTCAATGGCACTTACGCACATCTGGTTTTAAGTCTTTTTTATTAAAAATTTACAAATTTGTTAAAACTCGAAGAAATATGATTAAAATGTGTGAAACAACTTTTGGTCCTATGACCATACACACTTCCACATTACATCTCACACTTCCAATTTATTCACAACTAGTCCATGATCTTTTGCCCCTCGCCACCCTTCATCCTTTTGACCATTACTCTGGAACATTTATTAATTAAGTAAAAGTTGAAGGTTAGTTAAGTCATTTAATATAATTTAATTTAATGTTTTCTGTCACGCCCCAGACCGCATCTAAGCGCGTGTACAACCGCCGTGTGATCAAGTGACGTCACTCGCAAGTCAACCTCACATAATCACACAAGGCGTTCATGAACACCGTTCACACCATACTCAGTAAGTAAACATACACAACATCACATCATAGATTGAATGAATAGCGGAAAATATTCAACGGTCAATCATAAGCCACAAATGGCAGAATGTAGGCTCGCAGGCCAACAACAATGTAGTATTACAAAAGTATCCATGAGCATAGTTTATGATTTAAAATACAAAGGAAGCACGAACCACGTCTTCCTTTAGATTATTTCCACCCGTGCAAAGGTGCAGACAACAGGCTCTAGCTTCAACCTGAAATGGTGGGCCCCCCCAAAGGGGTCAGTACAAGTACTGAGTGAGTAGCAAGCTAAATGTAGGGTAACTAACGTTTCAAGTATAAGATCCAAACATAGGGTGATACATATACTTATACTTCTTTACCCCAAGTTACAAAATACATATCAGTACTTATATACACTTGGAAATACCCGACCTGTAGGTCATTGTTTATTTGGGAAAAATAATAATAGTCAATGTCCTTGACTTAAACCCCAACCCACCCATAGACCTATGAGTGTATAGGACTCCTCCTGTCCAAATCAAATAATCATAAGGACACCGCCCGGTCCTGAATTACTAAACAGTAATCTATGAGTTTTGAGGATACATGCCTGATCCTTGGGTACTCCACCCTATATAACCGAGTTTTGAGGATACCGCCCGATCCTTGGGTACTCCACCCGACATAACCGTGTTTTGAGGATACCGCCCGATCCTTGGGTACTCCACCCGACATAACCGAGTTTTGAGTATACCGCCCGATCCTTGGGTACTCCACCCGACATAACCGAGTTTTGAGGATACCTCCCGATCCTTGGGTACTCCACCCGACCTATGATCTACCACATATCATACTAGATAGGGTCTATATCATAATCAACAAACAAGACTAAACCAAGTCTTAAGGCCTAAGAAAAATCATCCATGCAATTCATGCATTAAAAATCAACATATAGGCAATATAAGGCCAAACCGACACCGGTTCAAACCTGACCGGCGCCGGTTCATAATCAAATAATATGAACCGGGCTAAACCCGTTCAAACCGGTGCCGATTCTATGCATGACCGGCGCCGGTTGCCCCTGGACAACCGGTCAACTCTCAGTTGACCCGCTATTTCAAATCCAATATGTGTCAAACTTAATCACAACATGTATTAAGTTATAAACAACCATATTATACACCATTTATCTTCAAACATATCACATATGTTTTTATAAACATTTTTATATCGCAAATCATGCATATCTCAATAGTTCATTTCATACAAGCCTAATCACTTTGGCTAATCACATGTTTAACCTCATTTAAACATTATTATGAACACATATAACATTTACTTAGGTAATCTCATGCTTAACCCAAAAGTTACAAGACATTAAGCCATCCACTCACCTCAAACGAGCTTTAAGAAGTTCTACCCTTTTTAGTTGAACTCCGGCGAAACTCCGGCGAAACTCCGGCGAACTCTAGAAACATTTTGGTCAAGCTCCTAACATGGTTTTATCATCACAAAACCCATATCAATACAAATAACCCCTAAAAGGTTATTTTCCGGCAAACCGGTCATTTTAGCTTCTAAGTCCGTTCTTGGACTTAGAACTACCTTTCAACCCCTCATCCTACACTTCTAAACGTGTAGAACAATTATAGGGGTCTTCCATATGATACATAATCATATGTTAAATAAAAAGTAAAGGAAAAGTTATTATAAGGACATCACCTTAATTATCCAAGTTTTTCCTCACTTTTTCCTTCTAATCCCCCTTCTTTTGGACCACCCTTGCTTGAGCTTGTTTTTGGCTATGGGGGATGATATTTTCTGGGAGGTTTTTCCCTTGCTATAGATGTGCTGGCCGAATGAATGATGGTGGTGAGGGGGATGGATTGCTTTTGTCTTGTTTGGACCAATGAGTGAGGAAAAATGAGGTCATGAGTGTACCTTTGATGCTCATCACCTCACCTCTCTCCTTCCAAGTCAAACAGCCCCATATTTGTCTAATTCAGCACACACAAAAACGTGGGGTGGCCCCCACTCATGTGGGAGGTCATCCCTTTATGTCTCGAGCTGTACAATCGGCCCCGAAAGTTGTATTTCTCGGACTGTTTTAGTTATACTTTATTTTATCGGGTCAAATAAAATATATTAAGTGTCCTCCATCATTATGAGATCTTAGAATGAATATACATTCCCCATATTTAATTTAGAAGTCTCCGAAATTCGTTTCGGATTGTTATCCGATAAATTACCAATACCGGTAATTGGGCCTCGTTTGACCAACGGGTCAATCCTATGCCCTTTCTATGGCCCAACTAAAACATATACCATCATATAAATATCATCTAGACCAAGATGAATATAATATGTGCTCGCGGGATTATCAGGTGGTCCCCGCTCCCGATGTGGGCCCCACGTGCAATTCACTATTCACGCAAAAGTAATAACAAAATTTTACAACCTCGTAAATTCATGAATCATTATTGAAGGTTTATCACATGATTTACTAAAAAGTAAATATACTTGGGGACGGTGTTACACTTTCCTACCTAACTTCCTCTCCCTCGCCTCTAACATAAGATCAAAACCATTCCTTATTAAAACTTTGAAGCGTAAGTAGGTCAACCCTAATTCTTTCAAACCCACCACTCTCGTGCTAGCTATTGTTTTTTTACTCCCAACACAAACACACCTAAAGAAGCTGACATGTCTACATGTAAATTTGGTACTTCGAATATGGAGAGTGAATTCTGACGTGCACTTTGTCGTGGTGTGCACTTCAAAATAATTATTAATACAACGATTATACGTAGTATAACGAAGTAAGATTCGTATCCACATGGAAAGAAATATTTATCTTTTATGTAACTAGTAACAAAAGGGGGTTTAGATTTGTTTGATGAACTTTAAAGTATTTAAACACTAAGATGAATGACTTATGTGGTTTAATTAATTAGAGATGGGGATTTGGCTTTGCTTTTATCCACTTAATGAAATGTTCGTCGATCCCGGATGTATCTTTAACTATATTCATCTCGAATACTCAATCGAAGAGTATATCCAATTCATCGAGGGTAGTTATTAATAACGAGACACGTTCATTAATAAAACTTACTATCGAGTCAATATAGAACACGCGCCGTATGTTAACCCGATAGTAGCAATAAACTTAAGATGAAAACGATTGAGATTGATAACCTCAACACAAGCGGTTTATTGGTTTAATCAATATAATTAATTCCCCTTAGATTATTAACCATGAGACACATGCATTAATAATCCAAGTTTACTACCATTGAAAGAACCGACTTAATAACAAGCGTATTAATCGATTGATTCTAGTAATAATTAATATATGAAACAAAACTAGTTGATCCTTTAAGTGATGCTCAAAATATTAAGGGAAAACTGTCAAATAGGTCCTCGAACTTTCATAAAAAGGTCAATTAAGTCCTTCTATAAGAGGTTCTGTCCGGCCGTCGCGATTTGGGGAAGTTCCCGGTGGAATTTTTTGTTGAAATTTTTTGAGAATCTTATTCACCAAGTCTAGTTTACTCATAACAATTTTCAGCTAAAAATTCAATCGGGAACACATTCAAATTAATTCTTGAAGATAACTGCGCATTTTTGCATTCTCGAATTAATTTGAATGCGCTCCCGATTAAATTTTTTAATATTCAAGGAAGAAGATTAAAGAAAAATAACTCACAACTTACAATTCATTAAACTTCAAAGTAGCGAAACCAAGATGGAAGAGTTTAGCTCCTCATTTGGAGACTAAACATGATGAAAATTTAAAGAAAGAACTTGTCTAAACTCAGCTTAGAAGTATATATGAATTGATGCTTTTTGTGTGAAGGAAAGAGGTGTATTTATAGGGAAAATGGAGCATGCA